TAGTGGGGGGGGGGGCGTGACCCCTATGCACCCCTAGACATGTCCCCCCTAGAGCCAGAATTCTTGAATTTGGAAGCAGTATTATTAAAGCTTTTAACAATATTTTGTTACTTCTAAGGCCGTATCATTTGAATGGAATGCTATTTTTAACCCTTTTTTTAACGGTTGAAAACAGTTGCACGTTTCCTTAAGTTTTTACCAAAATTCTTTTATTTTTCTTATTTTAACCACTGGATTGAACAATCTTCATCATCAATATGTATAAAGTAGATGCAAACACCACCCACCGGGCCTTTTTATTGGTTAGGGAAAATTTATTAGGGAAACTAGAGAACATTTTTTATCCACAATGTTTTGGGACATCTTTTCTCTCACAAAGCGCCAGAAAATACAGATATGATCAATCGTTAAAAAGCTTTAAATAATATCTGTCTCCAGTGTAATCTAGTTATAATATAATTGATATTGATGATATGATATTGATATGATTAACATGAAAGTAAAAAATTAAAACATTTTTTAACAGTTTTTTCCTCTTTTTTAACTACTAGATTTTATGATGGTATGATTGGTAATTATGGTCATTGGTCAGGTGACTAATAGTCAGGTAGGTTAAAGATTTTAAACTTTAGAGGGGTGCACATCAACAGTTAGAGGGGTGCACAAAAAAGATGTGTCAAGCTTTTGCGCGCCAAAAGTTAACCCCCCCCCCAGGTTAAACCTCCACTACGCCCCTGAAGGTAAAGGGAAATGGGGGGAATAGGTCGTCATTGAAGTATCATTATTTATGGGAAGCTCTGTATGATTATAACCAGAAATCTGTGGAAAATGTTTAGTAAGAAATATTAAGAAAAGTAATCCTATTAGAGGGATTCATTATTCATACCTAGTCTCATCATAATCGGAATATGAGAGGAGCAGGGAAGGATTGGGGGGGTATAAAAGAGCAAATTGAAAAATATTACAAATAAGATATTGAGAAGAGATGAAATAAAAGATGTAGAGAAGGAAATTGTAAGAAATAGATTAAAATTTATAAGGGATTGTGGAACCAACTTCGAAGTGAAATGAAAGAAAAAAGGTTAATTATAAATATGAAATTCTAAAAGCAGCTAAATAAATTAGTATGTGAATTTAAGACCCACGTTGTATATTTATTGATTTATTGAGAGTATAATTATTTATTAACAGGATTAATTTTTTATTGTAAACATATGAAGTTTATAAATTAATTATCTTTCATCTACAATTGTAACATTTAAATGAATTGAAAGAGAAAGAAACTGGTAATACAACCATGTTATGTATAAAGAAAAAAGACTAAATAGTATATACATCCTGTAAGCTTAATCCAAATTATGGGCCGGGTTTGTTGGGTAACCCTGTGTATTACGTTCTTATCTGGCATGAGGCCGCGAGGCGTAGCTTGCCCGAGGGGGGGATAGATAAAACTCCTATTATTGAGGGTTCGGTTAGGTTAAGACTATTTCTGGGCCGAGCGCTGCGGCTAGGATGGGCTAGAGGGCCGAGCGCTGCGGCTAGCACAGGCTAGGGGGCCGAGCGCCGCGGCTAGGACAGGCTAGGGGGCCGGCGCTGCGGCCAAATAATTAATTTAGGAGTTTTATCTATCCCCCCTCGGGCAAGCTACGCCTCATGCCTTCTTATCTGAAGCTCGGGGTTACTGTGAACTTTAACCTGTAAAATGTTCTCAGTGCACTGTACACTTTCTAGGACACTAGAGTACACTACAGGGTTGCCAGGTAGCCTTCTAGAAGGCCACTTTTCATGAATGTAGCCTAATCAGATTTCAGAATGCCTTTTGCATTGGTAGCCTTAAGGCTACCTTTTTGTAGAATTATTGGCCTAAAAGTAGCCTCAATTGGCAAGTTTTTTCATCCTTTTTGATACTTTTTACCTAAAAGTTCAGCAAATAAAATTTATAAATTTCTTTGACGCTCCGCGCTAACATTCTCGACATTAAACAACAAATATCTCTAACCAATAGTATGTCTAAGTATGAAAGAATAAGGTTCTTTAATATAGACAAAAAACTTAGTTTTATTTGTTGTTTTGGAGTACGTTCAATTTGTGAATAGTATTTTCAGATAAAATTAGTGATAAATTAGTATGAACCAAGATAAATTAACTGTAAATTCAAGCATCAAAAAGTAGCCTAGAGAGGGCTAAAAGTAGCCTTAAAAAATTCTCAATTTAGCCTTGTCCTTCTTTTCAAACCTGGCAACCCTGGACTACACTATTTCTATTGTATCAGTAGCAGCTGCTGTAGAAGTTGATATCCTTGATTCTCCTGAGAAATCACACAAACCTTGAATCCCTAGAAATGTCAGACTACACAATTAAAATCATCACGGAAGATATGGTGGAAGATGTGATGGATTTTATCTGGAAGAATTTCTATCCAGATGAACCTTTAACAAGATCTCTAGAGCTGAAACCAGGCTTTCTGGTTGATACATGGTGCAAGCCTCACATAGCTTCCGGATACAGCCTAGCAGCAGTTGATCCACAAGGAGAGCTCTTGGGCGTTCGGCTTGGAAAGATTCTTACCTCTAGTGATTGGAAAGAACGGTTCATGGAGAAAAACTATGTAGCTCAGAAAACTTTTGTAGCAATTGCTTGGTTCACCAAGGCCTGCACTGATTATATTCTTATTCTTATTCTTCTTAAAGACAAGATTGGATATGATGTCTGGGAGTTCATGGACCGTGTAAAATCTAAGAAGATTTATGAGGCGCTTCTAATCTGCACCAAGAAGGAAGGACGTCAAAGAGGGTTGGGTACAGAGCTTGTGGCAAAGTCGTTAGAACTGGCCAAGGAACATAGCTGTGAGTACATGTATGTCTTTGTCACTGGCAACTACTCTGCCAAGATCTTTGACAAGCTTGAGTTTGGTTGCGAAGGAGAACAGAGGTATGACGAATTTGTGGATACGGATGGGAAACCATTGCTCAAGGATACCAGAGAGCATATTAAAGCACAACTCAGAATCAAGAAAATCGAGTAAATTTTTGGTACAAAAAATCGAACAATTCTTAACTTTAATCCTTAATATTTTAAAGTTAAAATCTTGGAAAAATAATTTTAAAAAAACAATCAATGCTTTTAGTTTTTTTTTACCTTCATAGAAGCTTCACAAACATGTATCAGGGCTTTTAAATTTTAAAACTCATAAAGCTTGCTTTTATTACATTATGCAAAATGACAAAAGATTATTGCAACATTTTTCAGTATTTCTAAGATACAATATTTTAAAACTTTGCAGTCCTTTTAAAAACATACAATTTGCTTAACTTTACAGCCCTAAGCTAAAAACTGTGCACCCATTCTGTATATTTGAGACCAAAAAAAGTACGTTTATGATATTAAACTTAATATCATACTAATTTTTTAGAAAATTAAAGAAAGATTTCAAAGTCTAAACTGTACAGAAAATGTTATTTAATTAATGAGATTAGCATAAATAGATATTGATGAGATTAGAATAAATGAATATTAATGAGATTAGAATAAATGTGCAACGATAAAAAATGATTGTGAAGAAAAAAAATAGTGTTACTACTTACTAGCATTATTGATGAAACTTTTTACAAGTATATACTCATAACCTTCTGTGTTACCCACAAAGGATGAGACTGCAAAGACGACTGAAAGCTCATTAGATATGACGATTTCATGGGCTTATTTAATAATTTGGAAGAAGGAAAAAAATTTACAGTTTGAGGGAATTATGAATATGATGAAACAGACATTGCTAAATCAATAAAGTTTTCTCTAAAATCTCATCCTTTGTGGGTAACCCTGTATATAAAAATAAAAGAGAGAGACTTTTAATTTTCATGTTGAAAGAAGAGACACAAAATTTACCGATTAACCATCCCAATTTATAAATTTTGATGCAAAAATGCAGCTAGCCATTGGATATGGAAGAACACCTTGTTATTACCCCCCCCCCCCTTCATAATTCAATAAAGTAGAACATTATACATCTCTATAAAATATCTCTGTAAAGATTAATCTCGTGAAACCACTTCAAAGATTAGAAAAATATCAGATAGATAGATAGATAGATCCATAGTTAGATATACATATATGTATATTATCTAGAGACCTTTCCAACCTATTTTTGCAAATACAATTTTTTAGTAAAAAAGTCCAAGTTGATCGATGTTAGGTACTTTCCCAAAGGATTTTCCCCAAGTTGCAACTTCCCATCTGTGCATTTTCCCAAACGGTAACTTCCCAAGTCTGTCCTAGCCGCAGCGCTCTGCCCCCCCAGCCTATTCTAGCCGCAGCGCTTGGCCCCTAATTCAGACTACGGCGTTTCAGGTCAGAGGACCTAACCTAACCCTTGGGAAATTGCACATTTGGGAAGTTGTCACTTGGAAAAATGCCTTTGGGAAAATTATGACCATTTGATCGATTTGTTTGTAAACTAATTGATCGATCCTGGGTGCTACAGTGAGAAACAAAAAACTCTGTTTTAGACTCAAATTATGACTTTAAATAGTCCCATGAACATGAGGAGATACAGCAATTGTTAAGTATAGACAGACCCATTTCACTCAATAAGTGATTTGATAAGTTACCGGTGAAACTATTTACTTTGTAACACCATTATACATGATAATTGTTTTAATGTCGTCTTCCTATTTCACAACAACGCTATCCCCGTATTGTATGCATAAAGATATTTCAGAACCGTTTCATCCATTTTATTTGGTTCCTTTACTGCATGTCACTGCTTTACTTCAAAATGATGTAAAAAAGTATATTTTTAAAAAATGGAAAATTATGAAAATAAAAGGATATCATGGACATTTAAGTAAAAAAAAACTGAAGACATTTTGTTGAATGCCGTCTTTTTTTCTTTTGCTGAATAAATTAGCAATTTTTGGGGTCTGAATCTTAGAATCTCCATCTTATATAGATTTACAGATTAATTCATTGCCTCTTTTATATCCCATGATGGTCATACCCTTTCCGGATAATTAAATTAAAGGGATCAAACATTGATCTTAATTATAAAAGAGGCCACATTCGATTTCATAAAGTTGGTTCGAAGTTAATGTTTGAGTAAAAACTAAAGATAAACTGTAAAAAAAACTGATTTAAATAAATAACAAAAACTTGTTCTTAAAGTTTGCTGTTAATAATTGTATAATCTGAAAAACAAAACACAAATTCTAGTTTTTACAAGGAAAACTTTTCTATCAAATGTATTTCATCTCAGATACTGGGTGTTCCGCTAAACTTAAAACTACATAAAAAAACCTCATGTTTAGGCTGAAATGTCCAATTCACAATGGTACCTCATCCAAACTATAAAGTTAATTTTATGTACTATTTTTGAAACATCCTTAACAAGTTGTCACTCAATTTTCATGTTTTTATAAAAAATGTGAAAAATAGTGTTACAGAAACTGTTGGCTCCCTTTAAAGATGGGAAAATTGATGTAAAATGAATCTCTCACATTATTATATAAAAGCATCTCCTATGTGACGTCTTTTAAAATTCAAAAATATGATCTAACTTCGATCTCGGAGTCTAAAACTGGACAAAACAAATTGTAATGGAACTGATTACTCTCCTCAAATTCTCCTGCATCGAAGCGAGCTATCATTTTATTTCTTCAAATATTATATTAAAGATTAAGGACCATATAGATTTCTCAAACAAAAAGTTGTAAATTGGAAATGGTTTAAACCCCAATTCCCCCCCCCCCTGAAATTATTCTGGATAAAAAGGTAGTTTTGAATCTTGAAAAAGATACAGTTTATCCCAGAGATTTTGAGACAGCGAAAGAATTTATGAAATGTTTCATTAATGTCAAAAATTATTGAAAAGCATAGCCATGAATATACGGGAACAGTTTTAAAGAACTCCATATAATTATTTAGTTAAAAAACTATATATTTGCAGCGTTCTAAATGGAGCTTTTGCTTAAAAGATTGTCAACACAACTTTAAGTCATTATTTAAAAAAGTTACATTGACAATCTTACGTTTAAAGCCCTTTAAACCTTTCTTAAACCATCCATGATGGGTTTTCTTTTAGTACGTCCATGCTTTAAACAGCAACATGTGTTGAGATTTATAACAAATGCCAGCAAAAAATGGCAAAGGTTTTTTTCTGTAAAAAATTCAAGGAGAATTCTGATATCATGTATCATTATGTACCGGGTATCAAGGACAAATCTGGTATCATGTACCATTATGTACTGGGTATCAAGGACAAATCTGGTAGCATGTATCATTATGTACCAGGTCCGGGTATCAAGGTGTGCAAACGGTAGAGAAAAAACTTCGTAAAAGATAATCTCAGGTATGACAAGACTTCTGACTCTGCAAACCCCGGAAAAGATAATTCCAGAGTGATCAAACTTCTGAAAAATTTGTGAAGAAAGTATTCGTATTTGTTCTTTATTAAATATGATTTAGGCCGTCTGAGGCGTCAACAGCTGCAAGCGGACCGAGCGCTGCGGTTCCAATATGCAAGGGGTCCAAGCTCTCTTAGGAAGAAAATTCCAGTGTTTGCAGTTGTCAAGTTTGTATACAAACTCCTATGGAGATCGTACTTCCGCAGTTTATATTTACAGATTTTATATTTCTGGCGTTTGTGTTTGTGTGCCTCGCCCTCAGGGTGTGAATCATTTATGACACTAGACTAATAAAGTGTCCTAAAAATTGTGCCACCGATTCCTTAAGGTTTTAAAATTCACTACTTACAACAAAGTTGTTCCCTGTACATATCCATATTGAACCAATGCTCCCCTCCTGCAGCATTAATTCTTCACACAAAAACTCAATTTGGAAAACACCCTCGGAGAGCTTCCAGTTCGGTTCGGACAGGAGATAAACCAAGGGGTAGAAACAAGGGAGGGGGAATAGGGAAGAGACGGGAGGGGGAGGGGGTTGGGGAGGCAGATTTTTTAACTAGAAAGATAAAACTCTTCTAGAAAAATATATTTTTTTATTCTCTCTCATGGATTTTTGGTTTATTTTAAAGGGACTGTAAATACAATTTTACCAGGCAATCCATTTCAGAGTTTGATTCACTATCTGACTTTTGTTTTCTTTCTCAAAATTGATTATATTAATGTGGATTCTCTAAAAACACTTACTTGCGGATTTATATCTTCCTTATGGTTGAAAAATATGCACAGATGCCTTGGGTACCGTTGTAAAATGGAAATGCATCTTTTAAAATGGAAGGTCATTATAAATCTCACCGCCAGTTCCTTTAAAGAAGAAAGTCAATTATCCAACAGGTTCATTTTCCATTTGTCCCATTCTTTTAAAGAAAAAGGAAAGTAAGGTTCATGAAACAACTCCAATAATGAATCGGGATTTAACTTAAAATATGAAAAGTTCGGTTCAGGGTTTAGAGGGAAACGAAAATAAAAAACACTATTTTCTTACACAACAACGTCAAGGCTTGGTTAATACTTGTTCTTTTTATAAAAGCGTGAACGGTCCTATTAGGTTTGTTTTAAGAGTTCTCCTAGAATCTTTGTTATTGTCCATTCTTCTTCTCAGAGCTAAGCATTAGTAAACACGGCACGATCCTCTTACAGAAACTTATTGCAATTCCTCAACCAATCAATCTATCTATCTATCTATATATATATATATATATCTAACTAACCATCTATCTATATCTATACATACATCTATCTATCTAACTATCTATTTATCTATCTATCTATCGTTTCAAAAGATCGTTTTTAAAAACGATCGTTCCTTTTCTAAAAGTTCAAAACGAGTGGGTTTCTTTCCGAAAACGAAACGATCGTTTTTGAAAACGATCGGAAAACGAAACAAAAAACGATCGTTTAAGGATCGTTTTCAAAAATGATTAACAACCCTACATACAGATGGTTTGTCTTTTTACCAAATAATGTTTTAATATGTTTACTTTTACCCAGGCTGTCCGCTAATTTGTTTTATTTGCATACAAATAACTGTCAATTGTAGCCTATCTTTTATCCTTCCATTTCACATAAGTTTAATAGTGGAATGATCAAAGACAGTACATAGATGCCGTATCTAACCGGCCTGTCTCGTGTACCCAGTATATGGTCGACCTACCGTGTTTATGCAACAGAATACGGCGGGTTAAACATATAATGATTTGTCTGTAGGTATCTCTCTTATCTAACCTGCTTATTGTCTTTTGTTTTATTCATCTGTCCGTCTATTGTCAATTTTACCCATTTCTGTCCGATTATATCTATTTTCTTCCAATTATACATTTATATGTCTTGTATCCAACTATCCGTTTTATATCCATATACCTTGTATCCATCTATCCGTTTTATGTCAATATACCTTGTATCCAACTATCCGTTTTATGTCAATATACCTTGTATCCAACTATCCGTTTTATGTCCATATACCTTGTATCCAAATATCTGTTTTATGTCAATATACCTTGTATCTAACTATTTGTTTTATGTCAATATACCTTGTATCCATTTATCCGTTTTATTTCAATATTTC